GAGGTAAATTTGTGTATCAGCATAGATGGTACTGAAATCCAAAAGAGTTATTAAGGTTACTGTGAGAGGCAGTGTAGATGGAGAATAAGAGGACCAAGAGCAGAGCCTTGGGGACCACCAACCGAAATGGGCAGTGGGGAGGAGGTAAGACTAGAGAAGGAGGTACTAAATAAGAGTGTGGTTATTACAAGCAGAGAGGTTGCAGAGAATTAAAAGAGAGTAATTACATTTTGATTTAGCAGAGATTAAGTTGTTAGTCACTTTGGTATGGCCAGTATCAGTAGAATAGAGGGAGCTGAAGCTAGTATAAAGTTAGAAAGTGAGTTAGATGTGTAAACACAAACCAATCATGAAGCTTAGAAGTGAAGTGGAGTAGTGATTTGGGACAGTAGTTAGGAGGAGACGTAGGGTCAAGAGATGTATTTTTTTAAGATGGAATTAATGATTGCATGTTTGAGGGAAGAGGGGAAGATGCCACAGAGAGAGGTTAAATATATGCATTAGGGCTTTGCAAAGACTCGAGGAAAGAGATTGGATGAGGTGACAGGGGATCAAGAGGACAGGTGGTGGGGTGAGAGGATAGTAGATGTTTAGAGACCTTTTGTTCAGATACAGAGGGAAGGTTTAGATTGGAAGAGTGAGTAGAATGGAATCTGCAAATTGAAGAGGAGAAGGAGAGAGGGGTGATAGAATCCCTAATTTGGTTAATCTCGTCAGTAAAGTGACATGGAAAATCACAAACTGTGATGTTAGTAAATTGTAATTGTGAGGTAGCAGCAGTGTAGAGAAGGGAGCTAAAAGGTATAAAATGGCACTGGGATCATGTGAGTAAATGGAAATGAGAGAGGTAAAATATTTTTGTTTGCAAGGGAGAAGTACATGAATTTGTAATGTAGGAAGTCAGTGTGATACAGAACTTTCTCCAACAACTCTCTGCAGTATGGAACCATCATTGGAGATAGTGGGTGAGTTTTCTGTACCAGGGTTAAAGGAGTGGCAGGTGCTTAGAGTGAGCTTTAATACGTCAGCCATGGTAGACAGGACATCATTGTTTTATGAGAAGTTGAGAAAGAAGAATGGATAAGGGAAGAGAAGTGACACCAATTAACGGAACTTAGATTTCTAATAGCCCGAGATTGAGATGGGCCAGATTTAATATGTTGAGTGAGGGGCATGTTGACAGCGCTGGTGAGAAGATTCTGGTCAGCAACAGGGAAACGTGCATTAAGTAGAAGACAGAAAGACAGAACATAGGTTGGAAAAGACAAGATTAAGGGTATTTCCAGTTATGTGTAGGGAAATTGAGTAAGGCTAACGAGGAGGTGATAAATAGAGATGTCGCGAACTGTCCACCGAACTGTTCGTGAACTGTCTGCTGGCGAACAATAGCGTGTTCGCATTGTGCGAACATATCCGATTTCCGGTCCGCCCCCTATACGTCATCATTGAGTAAACTTTGACCCGGAACCTCACAGCCAGCAGACACATTCCACCCAATCAACAGCAGACCCTCCCTCCCAGGAAGTGTCTGCTGACTGTGAGGTTCCGGGTCAAAGTTTACTCAATGATGACGTATAGGGGGCGGACCGGAAATCGGATATGTTCGCCCAACGCGAACACGCTATTGTTCGCCGGCGGACAGTTCGCGAACAGTTCGGCGGACAGTTTGCGACATCTCTAGTGATAAATAACAATCTAGACGCTATTGAATTGATAGGTTGGCTTATGAGGATGATGAAGTCACCAAAGGTGAAGGAAGGAATGTCAAAGGATAGACAGTAAGGAAGTAAAGCAGAAAACTGATCAAGGAAGAGTAGAGGGGGACAGAATTCCAAAGGAACGTCCGGCCCTTGAAAATCTGAAACTCGAACTGAGAGAGGATTGAAGAGCTGTATAGCGTACACTTCAAAAGGGGAAACCTAGAGAGAAAGACAAGGGGGTAAAGGTTGGAAGAAACAATGATGGGAGAGCAAAACCCCACAACTCCACCACTAGCATCACATGGCTGGGAAGTAGCACCCTATATAAAATTGAGAATTCCACCTTTCTTAAAGGACCACTATAGTGCCAGGAAAACATACTCGTTTTCCTGGCACCATAGTGCCCTGAGGGTGCCCCCACCCTCAGGGACCCCCTCCCGCCGGGCTCTAGGGAGAGGAACGGGTTAAACTTACCTCTTTCTCCAGCGCCGGGCGGGGAGGTCTCCTCCTCCTCTCCTCCCTCTTCTCCTTCTCTTCGCCTGAATGCGCATGCGCCGCAAGAGCATTAACCCTGATTAACAATAACCTTTATTCAGTAGTTTAACTGTCAACTAAATACATCTGTGGGAACCACACTATAAACAAATGCTAACAGTGGATGCACAAGTACCAACATTATTGATTAAAGTGGGTATTAGAAGATAAATTGGCCTTACGGCAACTGCTGAGCAGCCGGATCTACGGCCTAACCTTCAAGATAAACCAGAAAGGAACCTATCAATTTAATGAATAAGCCCCAACGTTAACTCCTCACCCACACTGGAGTTTATAGGTCAGACAAAGACTCTGCCTATTTATTGAGTGTAATGTTGAAAAAAATATACATCTGCCCTGCCTTGTGTATGTAATCAGAAGTCTCAGAATATGCAATCAATTAGTTCACCAGCTCTGTATGTTTAGTGTGGAGTTACATGGGTGTGTGGTTTTTTTGCTCATTGACATGTGATTTTGTAGCTTTGAATTACAATCTTTTCAATGTGTAAAACTTTTTTTTTTTGTCTTATCTTGAAAAGGCCCCACCTTGGACATTAGCACAATGCAGTATTTTCTAATGACTCCTGTACAAACTGCATATGGCCACTCAAGTTGTGAAATAATGGCAATTTTATAAATGGGTTTTATCATTTGAACATACGATGTGAGAAGACGTCATGACCAACTGTAGACCACATGTTTTCTACTCATGATTCGTAAGTGATTGCGTCTTTTCCAAGATTTTCAGAGATTCCGTGCGTTAGTAACAGAGGACTTTTCTACCCCTTTTGCTATACATTTTATCCCCTGTAATGCTATCTCCTTAAAAAGAATAATACATTTTTTACCTGTATTCCCTCTCAATTTTATTTTTTCCAATGCAACGTAGTTTTTTGTTGTTGGACATAAGATAAAGTACTATTTTATTTGGCAATGCACAGAGCTTAAATACTGATATAGATGTACAGACACACAGATCCAAATAATGACACACTCACACAGATCCAAACGATAACACAATCACACAGATACAGACATACAGATACACACACTAACACACATGCAGACACATAGACACACAGATGCAAACACTGACAGATACAGACACACAGATATAATGATGCTTGCGCACACATGCAGATAGACAGACACACATTGACACACTTGCAGATGCAGATACACACACACACACACACACTGACAAACATGCAGATATATAGACACACATGTAGATACACAGAAACAAACACTGACACACATTCAGATGCACAGACACACAGATGAAAACCCTGATACACATATTGTTGCACAGGGATACTGATACACACACTGACACAAATGTAGATACACAGATACAAACATTGACACACATACAGATACACATACTAACACATAGAGATACACACTGACAGACATACTGATGTACAGACACACAGATGCAAACACTGACACAGTTGCACAGACACACTTACACACACAGGGCAGTCTTTAATAATGTTTGGACCCTAGCCAAAAATGTGTTTGTTCCCACTAGACCTTGCCCCCTCCCACTCCTTGGCATGCAATCACACCCTCTGTCCCAACTCAGTGGCAGAACTAAAGTAGAACGCGCCCTGGTGGAAGAATTGTATTGGGCCCCCAGTTGCAAGGTTGGATAAAAGGTAGAACCCTATCTGTCATGCAACACCAACAATGCTCTACCAATGTCCCATGCTTGCAGGGTTGTATTTAGCACTTAGCCTTGTTTGTGTGTTTGAATGTAAGCATGTCTTTGTATAGAGTATGTTTGTATGAATGTGTTTGTATGTGGTGTTGGAGTTTGAATGCAAGCATGCATTTACGTGTAGTATTGTTTGTTTTTTAACGTAGGGGTGATTTATATTTCATTTTGGTGTTTAACACAGATGTGTGTTTGTATGTAGTTTTGAGGTTTCAATGCAGGAGTTTGTTTGTATGCAATGTTTGAATGGAGGGGTGTATTTGTATTTAATGTTGGTGCTCAGATGCTCAGACACACATGTACACACACTGACACACATGCAGATACACACACTGACTACTTACAGATACACACACTGACAACATACAGATACACAGACACATACAGGCACACAGACACATAACCTGACAGACATATTGACACACACAAATACATGCATTGACAGGCATACTGACACACACTGACAGACAAACTGACACACACAGATGCAAACACTGGCAGACATGCTGACACACACAGACATACAAGCTGACACACACAGTTATACTGACACATCACTCTGCCAGGCATGGTAACAAACACACAGATCTACACACAGACAGACATACTGACACACACACAGACAGACAAACAAACACACAGAGACAGATATACTGCCACACAGACAGATATACAGACACACACAGACATAAAAACACACACAGACAGATATAAAGACACACATACAGACAGATTTACTGACACACACACAGACATACATACAGGCACACACACACAGACAGTTATACCGACACACCCAGACAGTTATACTGACACACACATAGACAGACATGCATAATGACGCACACACAGACAGATATACTGAAACAAACAGACACACACCACATACAGGTGTACTGACACACACACAGATAGACATAATGACACATGTAAAATTAAAATATTTAAACTCACCCTCCAGTTTTCTACCTTTTGCTGGAGGGTGGCTTGCCTGGGGTCCAGTGTAGTGCCTGAGGCTGATGGGAGTGAGGAGCTCCCCTCCCACGTGACTCCTTTGGCCCCCTCCTGCGCAGCTCCTCTTTTTATGGGAAGAAGTGACACATGACCGTTACTTCCTCCCATGCTGCCGAAACCGAAAAGCAAGGGGCCTGGTTGCACTGTTAAAGATCCACAGCGCCCCTGCCCTCCTCACTGCTGTTATAAGCCCACCGGGTGGTCGTAAGTGCATGGCCCACCCAGTAGGACTCCTTAGAGTGTGGGAAAAAAAAATTGTTAAGGGCAGCGGGGACCACGGTGCGGCTGCCTTGGGCCCAAGGAGCAACTGGGTCCTATTTTGTTTTGGCCGCATTACCCGCACTGGATACAAGAACTGATATATATGTGTGTACATGCAGATACACAGATACAAACACTGACACACATACAGATATGTAGCCCCAAGAAGAAAGCGCATCTTAGCAGAGGGGGCCTTGACAGGGCTTGGAGGTGGGCTTAGGTGGAGCAGGGGTTGGTGATTGACAGATCAGGATTCTGGGTAGGCTGATATAAATGTCGGCCATTTTATAACACCTCATTACTAATTGACTTACAAGGCTGAATTGGTCCCTCCCTCCCTTTAGTGTTAGGTTTTATTCTACCCGCTTGGTCACAGCGGCGGGCTAGTGGAAGGAAAGTTAAGGGGGTAACGGGCCTGCTTAAGGAAGCGTAGAGCAAGAGTAGTGAGTTGGCTGTTTCAATATGGACTGGTTACCTGTTGGTAAGATGTTGGTGGGCTTTGAGCTCGGTGGTAGCTCAGAACCCGGGTGGTGTAGGGGTATCAAGGTATACCCCTGCCAGGATCGTGTGGAAAATGTTGGATCTTGTTTTGTTATACTTATGGATTGTTATACAATGTTATGTTATATATGATGGGTCATTGCCTTGCGAATTGATATGTGGAAAATGATAATGATGGATGGCTGAGGATGTGGGGGTGGGCAATGACTTTTATGTTATTTATATATTATCGTTATTATTATTATTATTATTATTATTATTTATTATGAATAAAAGCTGTGGACATATTGACCCATACCCTAAAGTGTCAGTGTTTCATTGGTGTGGGTTGGGAAAAAGGTAACGGTCAGTTCCTCCAGTCTATATGGCGACAATGCAACTGTCATGCAGATACACAGACACACATATGCAAACACCGACAAGAGCTCAGTCATATGGGGGCAGAATTATGTCAGTGTAGGTTAAGTGGCAAGTGGAGATTATGTAAGTGGAGGTGGGTTTGAATCGTCATGGAGGCGGAGTTGGGATGTTGTGGGAAGCTGGGGCAGTCACTATAAACTCTCTGCTCCTCCCTCCCATGATTACAATGGGTCAGGTCGCACTGTTAAAGCGCCGTAGCGCACTACCAGGCCCCTCGTGGCACAAGTCTATCAGGTGGCCCTAAGATCATGGGCTACATGATGGACTTTCAACCTGTTCCTAGCCTTTGCAGTGTGGTTGCACCGCCACCATCAACTTTTTTTTTTTTTTTTCGCTTACTCCCGGGGGCACTGGATTGTACCCGTGGGTTAGTAGAATTATATCAATTGTCTATCGATCAAGAGCTTTCTTTTTAACATACAACTGGCTTTAGTGGGACTCATAATTAGTGTAGGACCCACTAACATCGTGACGTAGTGGTGGGCTTAACACAATATGGCCATATGGTGTAATTGAATTCTTATATTTGTTTGTTAAGGTAGCTGATTTTAATTAAAGGACCCCTCTAGGTACCCAGACCACTTCAGCTTAATGAAGTGGTCTGGGTGCCTGGTCCAGCTAGGGTTAACCCATTTTTTCATAAACATAGCAGTTTCAGAGAAACTGCTATGTTTGTGAATGGGTTAAGCCTTCCCCTATTTCCTCTAGTGGCTGTGTCATTGACAGCCACTAGAGGCGCTTGCGTGCTTCTCACTGTGAAAATCACAGTGAGAGCACGCCAGCGTCCATAGGAAAGCATTATGAATGCTTTCCTATGTGACCGGCTGAATGAGCGCGCAGCTCTTGCCGCGCGTGCGCATTCAGCCGACGGGGAGGAGAGAAGGAGGATCGGAGGAGGAGAGCTCCCCGCCCAGCGCTGGAAAAAGGTAGGTTTTAACCCCTTTCCCCCTTCCAGAGCCGGGCGGGAGGGAGTCCCTGAGGGTGGGGGCACCCTCAGGGCACTATAGTGCCAGGAAAACGAGTATGTTTTCCTGGCACTATAGTGGTCCTTTAACCTTTAAATAACATTAACTAAGATTGAAAACTATTTTTTGTATGTGCGCTGTTCCTTAATCGGTATTAGAGGGAGCTTTCCACAGAAGGAGTGTGCTGCAGCAGGTAATAACCTGGATTTGTGAGATGACGTGTATCAGAGTTGTTAATGGAAAGGATTAGAAGAGAAGTATCATGCTGTATGAAATATCTGAAATTTAGATACTGTATTTATATAAGACCCCATGAGATAGGTTCTGTTATTCTCAATCGTTCTGGTTTTCAAGTATATGGGAATGATAGACCATCACCCCTTCAGTCCAGTTGGAGAGAAATAGGTAACGCATGATTGTGAGTGTGTGTTGATAGTGTACTGATCTAGATCAATTAGCGGTGGGTACCTCGTAAATAAGGTGTATTGGTGGTGTGGAATAGAGGTTGTGTGATTATATTTATAGAAAGTGGATTTTTTTCCAGAAAAATATCCTGTACACATTTCATAAGAAAACACAAAACAAAATAAAACCAACTAGAAAAGTTGTACAGTGTCCACAAGAAATGACCCACTGTAACCACTAAAGTGAGATGTAGTGGTTATGGTGCTTGGAATGTTCCTTTAACCCTTTGCGGTCCAATATATTTTCACTAAGTGCGCCAGCAGGTCTCGTTTTTTTTTTTTTAATTGAACAATTCACACCTAAATCAGAGATCGCATTGCACATGCACACAGCGTCCTTCAATCTCTCGGGGGAAGTCATCGCCACCTATGCGTGCGTTCCCCTGCCAGGACCTCCCACCAAGATAGAGGGTCTGCAGTACTCTCCAGGGAAAATCATTGGACCCCAAGTGGTGAAATATTTTGTCGGGTATATTCAGACATAGGACTGCAAAGCGGTAAAACTCATCTGCAGAAAATGTTGGTTTGGTGAGAACACAAAGTGTAAAATCTAAAGATCCAAGGTTAGTCCGCACACCTGACTTATTTATCTGCTATGTCACGGAAAGACAAAAGAGCAGAAAAATATTCAAAAGATGAAAAAAATGTGGACAGGCCGGTTATTCTTTGAGGTTTTATTTATACTTAACCCACGGACCCAGGGCTCTAAAACGGCTAATAATGATGTCACCATTTCGTTAAGTCAACACCACAAGCAGGTATAAAATATTCTGCGTTCACATAACCTTCCCCAGTCTGCTCAGGAAGATGAAGGTGTTGACTATCACCGCGCTCTTAGCCTGCGTACTCGGCTTTGGTAAGGACAAGGTTTGGGATGGAAGCTGGGATTGGAATACAAGCTACATGCTTTATAAATGAAATATTCCAATATTGTTTTATTTTCTAACGAATAAGATTATTACATATATTAGCTTTTTCTCTCGTCTGGCACAAAATACAGAGAGATTGGTCCACTATAACTACTTTGTCTAATGGCAGTTTTTCATAACAATATTGGTTAAAATGTTTAACTGCATATAATTTAAATATAATCTATATAAATGGAATCTATCGTCCTATATAGAAATAAGCTATTTATCTAGATGAAAATAATAAGTAATGTTTTTATTAAATTGTCTATCATTTCACCATACAGAATTTGATCTCTGAACTGTATCAAGTTGTGTGAAATTCTGCTTGTGCTGGGTGGGTGGGTGCTTGGTGGGGGGGTGGGTGAGTGCTGAGTGGGTGCTTGGTGGGGGGTTGTTGGGTTTGTTCAAATACAAATTTCAGGTCAGAGTAGTCAAACTGGCAGCATCTCTGACATGGTGTGGTGTGCCTCTCCATAGTGGAAGCACTATGCTTAAGCCTGCTTAAACCTGCAGGAGCGATACCACCTGCAGTGACTCTTGTTGAAGAGGCTGCACACACCTTTTTTATTTTCCTGCCGACATACCGGTTAGTATGCTGCCCCAGAAAAAGGGAGATGGGCGACACTGAATACCAAATTCCATCCCCGGGCAAGCCACCATGTTTAGGTGGAATTGCTGGCTGTACCAAAACCAGCATTGCCCACCAAAAATGTTGTACTCCCCCCCCCCCCAGATCATGTTCAAATACCCAAAAAGAGAGAGAGCAGAGCCCTCTCCGGAAACTGACAAACCAAGATGCATCATCAATTATAACAATGATTTTGACATGTTTTTATCAAACGTTATGAAAATTATAGGAAAAAAAAAACTGGTCAGAAAAGTTAGAAAAATTGGAAAAGTCAGCTATGATTTCAATTTGGCGTATTTTGCCCTGAAATGTTAAAGTCACTTTGAATTGTCAACAATTCACGCTTTTTTTGAAAAACCCTGCTAGTGTTTTATACAGTGTATTACAATTATAATACATTGTGTGTTCCTTGTATTTCTGTTGTTAAATATTTTCGTAAATGAACTATTGATTAAATAGTACAATAGTAAAAAGCACAACATTAAAGGGACTCAATGTTACTAAAATAACTTTAGCTTAATGAAGCAGTTTTGGTGTATGGATCATACTCCTGCAATCTCACTGCTCAATTGTCTGCCATTTAGGAGTTAAATCACTTCTGTTTTTGCAGCTCTAGCCAAACTTCCCCTGACTGTGACACACACAGACTCAATGAAAATAAAATGATTTCATTTTCAATCAGAATTTAATTTTTATTTCCTTCTCTGTAAATTGAACATTAATTACACACAGGAGGCTCCTGCAGGATCTAGCAAGCTATTAACAGAGCAGGAGATAGGAAATTCTAAATTAAACAGAATAAAGGAAATGTAAACATTAGATGACTCTTTACAGGAAGTGTTTAGGAGGGCTGTGCAAGTTACATACAGGGAGGTGTGACTATGGCAGCATAAACAAAGTGATTTAACTCCTAAATGGCAGAAAGTTAAGCAGTGAGACAGCACGGGCATGATCTATACACCAAAACTGTTTCATTACACTAAAGTTGTTTTGGTGACTATAGTGATCCTTTAAAATGAGCTCATTTCAGCTGTATAGGAAAAGTTATGATTATGACGGTTACTTCTCAGCCAACTCATGATGTTTTTTCTTCATCCTCCAGGACAAGCCTATCAATGTTACACGTGCAATATGGCTACTAATGATGCAGAATGTATGCAAGTCACCAACTGCTCGTCCCCAACTCCCTACTGTGGGTCCGTAGTTGGTATGTTGCTTAAAAAACAGAAAACTAATAATTAGCCCACTTGTATTTTAATTGTTTCTCATGTTTTAGAGCTGTGATATTTATCAACATGTCAGATTATTCTGTAAAACTAATATGGGAAAATGCAGACTTTGTACCATACATCGACAACTTTTATTCCATGTGATCTGCTGCGGGCTCTGTTCCCCTTAGCATAGACTAGACTTTTAAAGGTGCCTCCCCTGAAGCCCATCAGTGTATTATTATTATTAGAATTGCTTCTGTTCATGTTGCTACCAGGGCACAAGTTATATCATATCCTTATGTTCTTTAGTCATTCACTCTAAGCACTGTGATATTTTCAACTTTACTATTGCTACTCAAAAATGTGCAGCTGTTTATGTTTTTTTGTTTGTTTTTTATTTATCAAAAGGGTAATACAGAAGAGAAAAAGCATATTGTACTGTAACAATGTTATGGAGCACAGACATGTGACACGAATATGAATAACCAATAAGACCACCATTAAATTCTGTACTGTCAATAGTCAGGGTTTTGTAAAACAACCAATAAACACGTACAATACACTCAGACACTCCCACACAAACTCCTCCCCTCTGCCTGTGATACAATTACCTTACACAATGGGTTAATGTAATTATCACAGGCAGAGAAATACAGTTTTTCCACATTATTCATAGCTTTAAAAGTATACATCACATAAAACTTACATTTTCAGAATCAGCATACTCCAAATACAAACATATGTCAAAATCATCCAAATTGGTCCAGTGGTTCAAAAGATAGATCGAAGTCCTTTGTGACCAAATGAAGGATGGCTTTTCTGCCCAAAACCAGTTCCACAGAGTCTTCTGTAATCCAATTATCTCCAAGGAAAGAGGCAAAACTCCATTGAACACATGGTAGCAAAAGACAATAAAATACATAAAAATATATAACTGTGCAGCTATTGCATAAAACAGGTACATTCAACATATCACCAGATAGCTCAGATCTGAGCGCACATTATTACTGAATGGTGCTCAGATCACATACATACAGTTCAATTGCCATGGAGCCAAAGTCTTTCACATAGTCTTTCGTTATACAAATGGGATCTATGGCATAGCTATCTGGGGTATATTCAAATAGGGCAAGCACCGAATGACCCAGCTTTCGTGTCTTTGCAGGGGAAAATCAAGCGTTTCAACATGGGGCCATAGTCTAAAGGCAGTAGGCGGGCAACCAGGCTCCTCCAATGCACAGTGGCGAGATTGGTTTTGTCACATCTCTCCCCTTTTCCAAACAGACTAACAGGGTATCTGACCTCCTGCCGGTCAGTGCCCTGGTTAGTCCAGCAACCCACCCATAAAACACAATTAGTAGTACAGCCCACCCACAATAAATGGTTACTACACCTGAGTACGGGGAAAACTTGTCCATGTCCAGGTGCCTCACCACAGCTGTGTGGGGGACTGGTATGCTGAATTTCAGGGGGACGAAGCGTATCATGGTTGCGTGATCGGGAGCTGCAAACAGACAATCGTAGTACGTCAGCTATGACTGTGGCCCAGCTCTGGTGAGCTTTATTCGAAGTGGAGAGCCATATATGTGTCATGGTCACCCCTTTTCTAGCATTACATAAAGAATATATAATGCTAAACTAAAAAAACGTGAAATACAAAACAAAAAACGCAAAATTGGATCCACCTGGAGACGGGTGTATCTCTAAATACCAGAAATGTGCATGGTATGTATCCTGTAAAGAATAGAAGTCTTGCTGCCCAGATTAGCATACTGTATCAGATTTCACATTCCCTGATAGGGTTGGCCAGTAAGAATCTGCACCACGGTTCCCATGTGAGAATGTAATGTTGGTAGTAGTTTTTGGATACTGATACTTGCATGTTTCCTCCATAATTCTAATACTTTTGACTTTCTGAATCCAATCTCTAATGGATGGAGAGTTAGCTTGTGTTGGAGCAGGGATGCCTTGGTCTTAGGCAGGTTTGTCGGGAGAAGGTGGAAAATTAACATTCTAGGTTTGAGCGGGATCGTCACCTCCAAATTGGTATGGATAAGTCCGGCTAGGCGAGACCAGAAAGTGTGCATTATGACCACCATATATGTGCTGAGTTGCCACTGGGTTGGTGGCATCTCCAACATTGGTTGGAAGAGAGAGAGAATAGTGTCTGTAGTTTGGCAGGTGTGTTGTGCCATCTGACTGTCTTGTAGTTGGCCTCCTGCACAGCAAGGTTCAGAGATGATTTATGGATAAGCCCAAATGTTTTTTTCCAGCTCTATATGGTAGGGAAAAGAAGAATTCCCTTTCTGGTTGTGGCTGGGTGTTTTGTAGGAGGGAGAACATGGAAGATATCTGTTTTTGCTTAATGGAGTGTAAGGAGCAGCTGTGTTCAAAATTTGTAAGTGCGCAAGTTCCCTTCTGCATTTTGTATAAAATGGAGAAGTTGATTATATTGGGCAGCTGTTTATGTTAATTGCTGGATATATGAACAGAAGATTATTTGGTGTTAAAGGGACAAGAAGATGTTTTGGTGATATCCTTGTGATATCCTTGTTGCACTTCAAAAATAAAGAATTACAAAATATTATAAGGAATACATGGCTCTATCAGAGGCATAATATCAGAGGTAATAAAAACATTATATAATTAACACTCTTTAATGCCCACAGTCTAAACCAACATTTTAAGTATTCCTGCTAAACCCTTTGTAGACTCAAGCTTACATGTTCTGCCGTATGGGGACAAACACAGCCTGTGGGTCTCTGTGACAAAAATAAGATCACAATGTGTGGATACAGTCTATAATGAATGTGGCTCATCTTCCTGTCCACCCGCACCTCCCACGCCTCCCCACTTTGACAGTCCCTAGATTGGCTTCCCGTAAGATACAGGGCTCAATTTAAGATCCTGATACTTGCTTATAAATCTCTACACAATGCTGCTCTGACCTACTTATCCTCACTAACACAAAAATATGTCCCGTCTAGGCCCCTACGCTCTGCCGGAGACCTACGTCTAACCTCTGTTCATACTCCTACCTCTTATGCTCACCTTAAAGACTTCTCTAGGGCTGCACTGATCCTATGGAATGCCCTACCCTCTCTGTGAGACTTTCAGCCAGTCTCCACTCTTTAAAAAAAAAGTACTTCTTTAAAAAAGCGTATCAATTAAACTGTGAACAGTTTTCCCTCCCCGCACCCTGATTCCTCTCCTGAAACTGTCATCAAAACAAAACACTAACCCCTCAGTGAATACTATTCTAGCAACCTTCTTTTCTACTCTACATCTACCCTTTGTGTCACTATACCCTCTAACATGTAAGCTCACTGAGCAGGCCCTCAATCCCTCTCTTACTGTGTCACTATACCCCACTCCCTCTAACATGTAAGCTCACTGAGCAGGACCCTCAATCCCTCTGTTACTGTGTCACTATACCCCACTCCCTCTAACATGTAAACTCACTGAGCAGGGCCCTCAATCCCTCTGTTACTGTGTCACTATACCCCATTCCCTCTAACATGTAAACTCACTGAGCAGGACCCTCAATCCCTCTGTTACTGTGTCACTATACCCCACTCCCTCTAACATGTAAACTCACTGAGCAGGGCCCTCAACCCCTCTGTTACTGTGTCACTATACACCACTCCCTCTAGCATGTAAACTCACTGAGCAGGTGTCACGTATTCATCCGCTTATAGAAATGTGGTTAATGACATTTACTGTCCACACAGGAAAAGTTGTGCCGAGCAGCAAACTAATCCACAGAAGGGTTAATGCTGAGCAGCAATCATGCAAATGAAACCTGGTAACTGACTTTGTGGTTGAAGGCCGGTTACAGCCTATCAGAACTAAAGGAGGGGTATTTAGGCCCAGTTCTCATCCTGCTCAGTGCCCTGTCGTGGTTTCCCTTGTGGTTGTCCGAGAGCACGTTCCTGTTTATAGTTTTCTACCTGGTTTTTGACTTTGGCTTTGTTTATTGACTTCTCTATATTCTGGTATCCTAACTCCTGGCTTTCTTCATCCCTGCGTCCCTTTCTGTGTTCCCTGACCTCGGCTAGTATTTTTTACTATTCTATGTACGTTAAATCCGGCCAATCTAAGGACCGGTAATACGTTACTTATTTGTCATCCGTGCTATACAGTTCTACGTGCTGGATCAAACAGTAATCCTGACATTACGACATGGCCATAGATCCTGTAGAACTGTGTCAGCACATAGCTACTTGCGAGAGGAAATTAGAGGAGAATGATCATCGCATGGATCAATTCGCTCAGGCTTTCAGTACGCTTCTCGCTAGAACGGCGCATCTGCAGCCTGCAGCGTCTCCTCCTATAGCACCTCTACTCTGTGTACCTCCACCCACTGTTAATAGGACTCCTAGTATCTCCTTATCGCCATCCCTACAGTTTGATGGCAATATCCAGGAATGCAGGGGTTTTCTTAATCAGGTGGAGTACCATTTTGAGGCCTCACCAGGGTCGTTCCCCATGGACAGAGCAAAAATTGGTTATCTAATGAATCAATTAAAGGGCAAGGCCCTTGCCTGGGCTAATCCGTTGTGGGAGAGTAATCGGAGCATAACTCAAAATTACCAGGAATTCCTTGCCGAATTCAAGCTCACGTTTGAGCCATCGGGTAGAGAGGATGACGCCTCCACTGCCCTAATGCACATCAGACAAGGTAACCGGTCTATCTCGGATTATGCTATTGAATTCCGTACCTTAGCTTCCGAGGTAGACTGGACTAACAATGGGTTAATCTCAGCATTCAAAAAGGGTCACTAGACTGTCAGAGGCCGAAAAACAGTATAGGAGAAGGGAGGGGTTATGCCTATATTGCGGTAGAAAGGGACATATGATAACTAATTGTCCAGTGCGTCCGGAAAACTTCTGCACCTAAGAACCTTAAGGGGACAGATCTTACGTGTGATGGAGTTGTCCTCTAACAAAAACAAAAGTAGATTCCTCCTTGAGGTATCTATTTCCCTTGATAACAAGAAGTTTTCTTGCAGTGACTCAGGTGCTGCTGGAAATTTTATTGATGTCCAGTTTATTAGGGGTAATGAGATACCGGTCAGGGAGAGACCTATGCCACTAGCTGTAGAGGCTATTGATGGTAGACCACACACACAACCGCTTATAACCCACGAAACTGTCCCTATTACGATCTCCATTGGGGCCTCCCATAGGGAGGAGATGACGTTTCAGGTTATTACTTCTCCATCATGTCCTATCATATTAGGGTTTCCGTGGCTGAGTAAGCACAATCCCTATATTGACTGGGCTAATGGGGAGATATTAGAATGGGGTAAAGAGTGTATGGGGAGATGTATAAAACCAGTACTAAAGAGATTGGATACTATTGACCTTCCCACTACCACTCCCCAAACTCCTGGAGTTCCCATACAATACCGAGAACTTCAGGAGGTGTTTAACAAGGCTCAATCCGATGTATTGCCTCCCCACAGATCATATGACTGTGCCATTAACCTGTTTCCAGGCGCTATGCCACCTAAGGGGGCAGTTTATGCCTTATCTCCCCAGGAGAGTAAAATAATGGAGGAATACATCAAAGAATCCTTGAGCAAAGGGCATGTGACAGAACCATCTGTCTGCTTGGATTTTTACTACGTTCGTCTGTTTGTCCCCCGTTCGTATGAATGGCTGGTTTCTATAGCCCAGCCATTCGAATGACTCTTTTTCCCGAACAAAACTGCCGAACGAACGGCCACCCAAGTGAGGAGCGTGCTGCAGGTTAACGAAGTGATCCCAATTAGAACGTTGTGGTTAACCGCAGACACTTCTCAATTAAGCCGAATTCAGGGTGGTCGTCGTTCGTATGTCGACCACGAGGCAGCGGCCATTTTAAATCATGCGAACGCTCAGCGGTGTTTGGCTCTATTTCTATGGAACTGAAAACGGACACTTTTTCTGCCGAACACCGCTGAAACAACGGAACGCCTGGCTGCCTCCATGAAAGCATGCGAACACCGGCCGTTCGGGAGATTGAGAGCATACGAAAAGACTTAACCCAGATAGCCTTCCCATGGAGTCATTCGTATACCGAAAGACTGTAAGAACTTTGACTCCATGGCGATTGAACTATGTGTGTGGGATCTGAGCGCTATTCGCTAATAATATGCACTCAGATCCAGGCTATCTGGGGACATGTAATACGAAGGGGAAATGTTCAGTTTTCATGTAGTTATATATTTTTATGTCTTTTATTATTTTATGTCTAAAATGGCGACTGGCTTTGTCCTGGAGTTAATTGAGTTACTTGGTAATTAACTCCAGGGCAGAGGGGAGGGAATCATAATGCACTGTGGGTAAAATCTGTGACTGTGTGTCTGAAATGTCCCTCCATCTGTCTGTAGTTTAAGTCTCCCATTTGGTCCCCTAGGGGAGTGTCCACCAGGTGGGAGACCTGCATAAATACGGGCAGGTAGCCCACAGTAAAACGAGATTCTGTTTGACCCTCAATGCGGAGCTTCTGTCTCGTTATTGGGGGGATTTCTTCTTCACGTTTAGAGACTGCTGGATGGAACGAAAGCCGCTTGGGGCATATTGCTGTTCGACGGTTACCAGCAGTTCGTGTATTGCCGTTCGGGAGTTGGAGCCATTCACGGATCTCGTTCGGGAGATTGCCGCTTCCCCTGCATTTGGTTCGTGTGTTACAGATTAAGCGAACGGAGACTGTACTGCAGCCGGGGAAGGTCTACTAAACGGCGGTTTGGCTTAAAGGCACTGGAGGTGTCTTAACAGGGCACATAAGAAAGTCATCCTCACCAGCTGGTGCAGGATTCTTTTTTGTTGAGAAAAAGGGTGGTGAGTTACGCCCTTGCATAGACTACAGGGCACTTAATAAAATCACTGTAAAAAATACATACCCTATCCCACTCATTTCCGAATTGTTCGATAGACTTCAGGGAGCTAAAGTATTTACTAAGCTTGACCTTAGGAGCGCTTACAATTTGGTTAGAATTAAAGAGAATCATGAGTGGAAGACGGCATTTAATACCCGTAGTGGACACTATGAATATCTGGTAATGCCATTTGGGTTATGCAACGCCCCGGCCGTATTCCAAGACTTTATAAATGATGTACTCAGGGAATTCATTTACTCATTTGTCTTGGTTTATTTGGACGATATTTTGGTGTATTCCCCTGATCTTCAAACTCACCACTCCCATGTGAAACAGGTTCTGCAGACGTTGTTGAAAAATAAACTTTATTGTAAATTAGAAAAGTGCATATTTGACCAGCCTGAAGTCCACTTTTTGGGTTACAACATCTCTGCATCGGGATTTCAAATGGATCCTAAAAAACTAGAGGCTGTACTACACTGGCCATTACCCTCTGGTTTAAAAGCCATTCAAAGGTTTATTGGTTTTGCCAACTATTACAGAAGATTCATCAAGGAATTTTCTTCTGTAATAGCCCCAATCACAAATATGACTCGCAAAGGGCTTAGTAGCACGGTATGGTCCAAAGAGGCTGTGAATGCTTTTGAGACTCTTAAACAAAGATTTGCTTCTGCGGACATACTAAAACATCCCGACACTAGTAAACCTTTTATATTGGAGGTTGATGCATCCGAGACAAGGGTAGGGGCTGTTCTCTCTCTCAGGGAACACCATTGCATCCTTGTGGCTACTTCTCCAGAAAGATGTCTCCTGCTGAGCGCAACTACGATATTGGCAATAGAGAACTGTTGGCCATTATTCTTGCCCTCAAGGAGTGGCGACATCTTTTGGAGGGTTCCAAGGACCCCCTGTTGATCATAACCGACCACAAAAATCTGGCATATATAGGGGATGCCAAACGTTTGTCTTCCAGACAGGCTAGATGGTCACTGTTCCTTTCACGTTTTAACTTTCTCATTACTTATAGACCTGGTTCTAAAAATACCAAGGCTGATGCCTTGTCCAGGCAATTTGATAATGAGTCAGCTCCGGAACAGGTGACATCTCCTATTATTCCACCAGAGTGTATTATTGCTACTACTGTCCTCTCACTGTCTTCTCCACTGCTTGGCACCATACTGGAGGCCCAGCCTCAGGCGCCCAGTGGTAAACCGTGTGATAAACTGTTCGTTCCCCTATGTGAAAGGGTTAATATCATGAAAGTGTTCCATGACAATATAACTGCTGGACACCCGGGCATCAATAAGTCCACTGCCGCGATCACTAGATCATTTTGGTGGGATTCACTCAGGAAAGATGTAAAGGAGTATGTGCAGGCATGTTCTGTGTGTGCAGTTTCTAAGGTGACTCATGCACTTCCTTGTGGCCTGTTGCAGCCTCTTCCTGTTCCTGAAATTCCATGGTCCCACTTATCCATGGACTTTATTGTTGAGCTTCCTATTTAGTCAAATATATGAGTCTGAAATAATCTTACATATAATATTATTTCAACCAAACTCATTGTTTATTTCACCATTGAAGCATGTCAAGATGTAGATCATCTTTGTCCAGTGCTAGAATTTTGTTTAGCAGGGGGAGAGGCAGGAGTCGCTTTTCTCTCCTAATCTTTTTTTTTTTTTTTTCTGTTTTTACTATTATTATTTTTATTGTTTGATTTTAGAGCAGAGTTTTGTTTTTTTTTTAACCAGAAATAGTACATTAACCTGTATTTACTTTCCAAATACAACTTATGTTTAGATGTTATTACCCAGCTTAATGGCACTCATCTTAGCAACCTCGGCTGAGTTACAGCCCTATCCACTGAGCTATCTCACTACCTGCTTGAATAATGTTACCATTCTTCTTATCTCAGTGTGTCAGTGTACTTACCACTGCTGTAAGTCTTCTCTTGAAAATCCAACTACATACAGAATGGATAGACATACACCAACTGATGAAGCCACACCCGGCAAAACGCGTCTGGGTATTATTTTGGACACTAGTAGACTTTTACCCTTGTTTATTTTATCCAGTGTTTTACTAAATACATTTTTGGGGAATTTCTTTGACCATATTTCCAAGACCATCAGCAAAGGGGTTTGGATCACCCAAAAGAGATCCTAAGGAAATTCGTACCAGAGCCAGGTCAAGTATATGGCTCTATCTTTTTGAGTGTGTTTCAGTAACTGATTTGCCATATTATGTGTTAAGATATCTGCACTATTATGTACCTCTCTATTTTTACAGTGATACAGTAAGAAGAGAGGAAAGTATATTTAAATTTGTCTTTACCTGCTCCACCTATTTTGGTGTGTTATATAGAATGGATAGACTTGTTTGTAAAGATAATATATACATTGTATTTATTTTTATATTAGCTCTGTTGTATGGTAATAACCTATTGTCAGAACTCACACTCCGTCTCTTTTCCCACTTACAGTTGATGCCAGCTTTATAAAGGTGGTGAGCAAGTTTTGTTCGGCAGCATGTGTTAACGGCAACCAGAACTTTACTGTACTGTCTAGTACAGAGAGCTGCTGCCAGTCCGACTTTTGTAACGACCAATCAATCGGCAACAACAACTTCGATTTTGGCAGCGGCGCAAGTGGAATGGCCAGCAACATTTTTCTCATCTTCACATTCGCATTCCTCCTCAGCGTCATACCCACACTGAGAATATAAGGAACCCATCAGTGATTTATTGTAATATCTCCCCAAAAATCAGTAAATTTTAATATGGTCCTTAGGGGGATATTTTCACAGATTGTGAGACACAATGAAGGTGCACAGGTAAATTTATCATGTTTTATAACTGGCCAACAGCACACATTAAAATTCTAACTAAAGAACGGATGTGAAAAATTCCTAACCGCAGTCCACCGTGCATGTGTCATCCTATCGTCCTACATAGAGATTATTCATAGGGATTTTCTTTCTATACCTTTACTGCAGTCAGATTATTAACCATTAGTGCACCAGTGAGACATATGGCCTAACACATCTCTCACCAATTATAACCAAAGGCTTTGTTTGTAAAAGTTAGTAGACATATAGATAAATAAGATAAAATAAATGTCCTTTACTGTTACGTCACAGGTATGTCAGCCAAATCAATATTCCATAGTCATTCGAATGAGTCACTATAAAAAAAAAATGTTTTTTTTTAGTTTGTGAACATTTAAATCTTTAAAATGTGGAAATAAAGTGATAATTTAACCATACAATGCTTTTATGTGCTGAAACTCAAATTGAAATGTGTATCTAATTTTTGACAAACTGTTTTATTTTGGTTTGTACAGTTTTAAGATAAATCAGCTCAGTTGGTATTCATGGTACATTGGATAAAGACACGAGGGGCTCCATGAGGGATTTTATAAAATATCCGACTTGATCTATATGACAACATTTAGCATGTTTAACCTTGCAATGAATCCCTGAAGTGGCGTTATGGTTTGTTTTTGTTTTCACAAAGTGAGCTTGTCATTTCCTGATCAATGAGCCATAACAGTCTTGTGTGCTAAATAAAAATATTTGCAATGAAAAAGGGAGTCTCTAGTTTTCTATATCTGTAGGATGTATATCCTATCCCTTATGGCATTAACTAAAGGACTTTGAAAAATGACTTGAGTCTACAGTGACTTAAATTGGTATTCATTAGATGCCCACATGTGTAAGTGCATAAACTCACAAGTCTGAGAGACAACAGATGCTCAAATAAGTAGCAGTTTTCCTTTTGCTAGCCAGCAGAGGAGACTCTCTAAATAGGCTAGTTAGGCAGCCTCCTAAGGCATTGTGCTCTCAGGGACCTCGCAGCCACCTAACTCGCCTTAGAGCAAGATTGATCGTCGGGTCCTCGGTCCATTATCTAGGGTGCAACATCATGTCAGGGCCCATCTATGTAAAATGGACAGATTCCTTGGGTTAATGGGGTAAATTCATAGGATCTCTAAGGGAATCGGCAGATCTTATGGTGACCTAGCAGGTTCGGAGAGTGGGACAGTTTTTCCAGGTGGTTTCAATATCCAAATACAGAACACTCATTGTTGCTTAGGGTACAAACATAACACACTTTACATTTGTTAATCAAATCCTGAATGAATTAACAATAGTTCTACAGGAAATCATTTTTTTCCCAGTATGCTCAACACAAGACAAATGTAATTCCTAGAATTACCTAAATTTCTATTTTCTGCATCCACAAATGCACGGGTAAGTTGTACAAATAAAGAGACAGAAAGTATTTGACTACATTTTGTTAAATATATTTCTAATCTTGAGAATACATGTCTTCATCCGGACGGTTGAGATGAGATAGCTACGTGAATTATTTATGAAAGTCCATTAAATGGTTCATCATTTTTGTCGGACCTCTCTATTGAATTTGCCAAATCTGGTTGTTGGTCAATATATAAAATAACGTTTGTGCAGTTTATTGAATTGTTGTACTGCCGCAAAGTCAATATGACCCCAGGATTGGGGGATGACACCTTATTCACCAGGGAACATATCTAGTAGACAAAAAACAAGGAATAATTATTTGTTTAAACAGATCTGTTGCTATAAAACTATCCAAACTTCAGCTTGACACTTGATAAAAATCATCACACTGTATGAGTGATTGTGTTACATTTCTGCATTCAGGATTAACTCTTTAAATTAAATGACTTCTATAATTTCTATTTTTCCCTTATTGTTGTGTACATTTAGTCTTAAAACCATTCTTATCAATTTTATAGTGTTATACAGAAAGAGTGACGTGTATAATACAATGAAATACAATGTTGAATACACAAAAATTAAAAAGGAATAAGGAATCCCTAAGGACCGTGACTTGGAGCACCAGATAAAACGTGAGACTTGATCCATGAAGTGCAGCTGATATAAAGTACAGTCGGTGTTTAACCAGCTATAATCATGAATGTCGCATCAGTACAGTCACTGCTACTGAAATGAATATGGCACATATAAAACAGCACAAAGGTTAATGTAATTCAACCTATACAGGAGACAATAAAAGAGAAAAAAGTGTGTAGTATGGGATGCATCGTTTGTGCTATCTATGAAAGAGTGAAATAGGAAGGAGGGTTAATGTGGAAAAAGAAAGAGGGGGAGCGGGAGGGGGGGTGTCAACTATAACAAAATTACCAACCAGGTTCTCAAACCTTACACGACTACTGTCGTCAATTTTCTTTCTTTTTTTTATAAAGTTTATGGCATTTTTATAAATGATGTATTTTCACATATTTTAGTCTGGCTGAGCGGCCATGTTGGATCCGACGACTGTAATCTGATCAGTCGCGGTTCAACCTAACTTTCCTGGTGCTGCGGCTTCACACAGAGCAGTCTCAGTAGCAGTAAGTTAGGTTGTGTGGAAATCGGTCAGATAACAAGAGCCTTATCTAACATGTCTGCTCACACAGATAAAAAACTCACATTTTCTCAACAACAAAAAAATCAGTATCCACCACTTAAAATAATAACATAACTACGTTTCTTTTAATGTAATAGACTTCAAATACGGGCCCAAGTTTTGTGTGAATGTGATGAATACTTTTAAAGTTATGAATAGTGTATAAAACTGTGTATTTTCCTGCCTGTGATAATTACATTAACCCATTGTGTAAGGTAATTGTATCACAGGCAGAGGGGAGGATTTTGTGTGGGAGTGTCTGAGTGTATTGTATGTGTTTATTGGTTGTTTTACAAAACCCTGTGGGTGGTACTAATGTGTAAGAATGTGTATATAAGAACAATAAACCCACAGCTCTGGCTGATTCTGCTTGAACCTCAAAACAAAGCGTTGTCTCGTTATTGGGGGAATTGGATTGTATGCTGTTTCAGACTGATTGCCAGGAGTGTAAACTGTTCGTATGGTTTTTCCTATTCGGCTATTTACAGCATTCATATGTTTGAGAGCATTCGTAAGCTTCTCAGGTTCGGTGGATTGGTGTCTACAGTAGCTGCCTGTATATCTGGAAGGGGAATATCTCCTAAATGGCTGTTAACCCCTTTTATGCCTGGGGGCAATGTTACACTGACTGGCATTTTCAAGGCTTTGGATATCTTTTTATATCCTTTTCCATCTTTATAAAGTTCTATTATCTTGGTACGCAGGTCTTTTGACAGTTCTTTTCTGCTCCCAGTGGCTCAGTAACTAGCCTGCTCAGTGCATCCACGCGAGAGCTAACAAACTCATTGACTTTTTATACACAGGCACTGATTGCAATTTAAAAATCCACAGGTGTGGGAAATTAACCTTTAATTGCTATTTTAACCTGTGTGTTTGTCACTTTGTGTGTCTGTAACAAGGCCAAACATTCTAGGATATGTAAACTTTTGATCAGGGCCATTTGAGTGATGTATGTTATCATTATTATTGAAAATGAATAATAAATGGATTCATATGATCACTATGCTTCCACAAAATAATTATTTTTTTGCACGATCAGTCATATTTAAAAATGAATGCCACAATTTCACAATTCCTGCCAGGGTATGCAAACTTTTGAGCACAACTGTATCTACTACTCTTTCTATATCACTGACAACCTTTACTGCTTCCACTGGAAGGGTACTCTGTTCCTCATACCTCTTGACATTTTAAATAGGCAAAGAGGGACACTTCAGTCACCAAAACAACTGTAGCGCAATGAAGCAGTTTTGGTGTATAGATTATGCGTGTGCAGACTCCCTGCTCAATTCTCTGCCAATTAGAAGTTAAATCACTTCCTGTTAAGAGTCATCTAATGTTTATACTTTCTTTATTGCAAATTCTGTTTAATTTAAAATGTTGTATCTCCTGCTCTGTTAATAGCTTGCTAGACCTTGAAGGAGTCTCCTGTGATAATTAAAGTTCAATTAATAGAGCGGGAGATCAAAACTTATAAAGTAAGTTACATCTGATTGAAAGTGAAACCATTTTGTTTCCAAGCAGGCTGTGTCAGTCACAGCCAGTGGAGGTGTGGCTAGGGCTGCATAAACAGAAACAAAAGAGATTTAACTCCTAAATGGCAGAGAATTGAAAACTGAGACTTCAGGGGCATGATCTATACACCAAAACTTCTTCATTAAGCTGAAGTTGTTTTGGTGACTATAGTGTACCTTTAAAAATTTTGGTCTAAGTCATTTGTCAGGCGAATGAGAATGCGAAAACCACAAAATGTATCTCAATGTTTGAATGCTAGATTTGGGCCCAAATTTCCTCGATACTGGTAGATGGGAGACAGTC